AGATAATCATGTAAATAAGAAGACCATTTGAATATACATGAAATTTATTGGAAAAAAAAATAAGTGTATTAAATAAAATAAGACGTGTTTATAACCTTTCAAAAATTCGGCATTTATAAAGGAAGAAAAAACAAGAATTTGATATAAATAAATAAAGTTTCAAGGTGGTAATTTAGGTTCGAAACTATTTCAAATTTTATTTTTAAAGTTTGAGGGGGATCCGGTTCCCCCTCTGGCTCCAAGGTGGCTCCACCCCTGCACCAACATGCATCGGTTGGAGGCTAAAGGACTCGGTTTTAAAAGCCACATGAACCCCAAAACAAAAGCAACAATCTAGAGGTTCCAACTGAAGTTAGGGGTTGGTTGGAAGTAGTAAACATCGATGCACAAGTTTGTTGCTTTGTGGTTTATTTCCTGAAGGCTTTGATACTCCTAAACAGGATTTAGTGAGGTACGGTTGGGCTTGAAGTTATTTTACAAAGCGTGTACTATAACAAAAGCGAGGACTTCTGTGATGTGGTCATTTTTGTCAATTTCCCCATATATTAATATGAAATATTAGCATATGGTAAACGTATGTCAAGATATTAACTTATGTGAAACTCCGCTAGGAAAGTTCCTTTTACGAAAATTTCATTTCTGGAACCCAACTCGTTAGATATACGTAGTATATGTGTGGATATATGCATGTAACGAATATATGTATGTGCGTAGTAGATATATGTAATATGTATTTAGTTTCCATCGGTATACTACATAGAGGTTTACAAAAACTGACAAATCGTTCAACCCAACCTGTTAACAATTCAATTAAATCCAACCCACTAAACCGCCAATTAAAAAGGTTGAAATTGGGTTGGGCTAGCTCAAACCAGCCCACCACTAATATATATAACTTCAATAATTTTTTATTCATATATGTATATAATATAGTAGTCTATTATATTTTACATATATGTGTGTACTAATAATGTTTATTATAGAAATTAATAATGTGTAAAATTCAATATAACGTTTGTGGAGTTTATGTTTGTATACTACTACAGTCTACAAATTTACTAATGGAATCGGTTGGTAAGCTGTAAGCGTTTAAAGGTAAAATTCAACTCTATCGCTTACTTACCAGATAAGATTTTAGTCTACCAAAACGACATCGTATGTAACAATTTACCTGGTAGGCGCCAAACTCCCAACCAAATATTTGTTGATTGCACTAAATTGGCAAAAGAAGGTATGAATTAGACAAAAACAACTACGAAATAAGTTGTGTAGCTGTATAATGAGGTGAATTATCTTTTAGAGCTCCCATCTAAATGGCATCGATTTATTAGCATCACAAGGACCTTCTTCATGATACCTTATAACAACCTTACAAGAAAATATATTTTTTTGAAGTATATAATATTTATATACGGCAAATGCAACAAATAAACTCACACACCCTCCTCACCTATGGTGAGGTTTGAACCCCTGACCTCCTAGAAGACCAAGGGCTACAATACCGCTAGGCCAAAAGCCCTTTGAAAAATATTGCATTACACATGAAGAGTTTACATCACTCAATGTAGCATTAAAACACAAATGACCAAAAATCTCATTTGAGTCTTAGGTTTAAGTGCACAATGATGACATTCTAACTAAAATCAACCAATTCTCTTATGTCAAATTAAACAAGAAATAAGTTAAAAGGAACTTTAATGTAAAATTAGAAGGGTATTTGTGTAATGCAGCGAGATACATCTTGATTTTAATAATTTCTTTTATTTTTATCTCGGTTTATGTTATAATATAGTCTTATGTGATTTTTGAAAAAACGATAATGTTTTTATTTTTGAATAAAATATAAATTTGAAAATATCATAAAAATTTGACAAAAATATATCGATATTAGTATCAAATTAACTATTTAAA